ATCTCTGTCCCCCATACTTTGTCAATAAAAACAAAAGTCACCTGTACTTTCGTATAGGGCTGTCAAAGTTCGACCGACACAATTAACAAACACGAATCGAAATGAATTAAGCAGATTTGAGTGAGATTTTAACGGGTTTGGGTGATAAACAGGTTATGTTCGGGTGAAACCTGTCAAACTGTTTATCATACGTTTTTCCGTTTAAATAAAATTAATATAATAATAAATTAATAATTATTTAAAAAAATTAGCAAGAAAAAAAGAAGTAAAAAAATCAATAAAAAAAAAAGTAAAGTAGTAGTTCAAAGACAAAATAGAAAAGACGATGAGCAATTCAAAGACAAAGGCAAACCCATGCCTTTTGTTTTTGTCCCATATTAGAAAATGAGGGGAGATGAGGAGGGTTGAGTTGCCTATAAAAAGCAATGGTCTCTTGCTTTTTTTTTTTTAAGCCTTTAAGTCTTTTTTTTTATAAGATTTGACAAAGAAATCCTCTATTTTGAGGTAAGTGCAATTGGCAATAAGGAAAAGTGGACTATTAAAATTTGTTAATATAATTTTTTTAAAATTAAATGGGTTAAACGAGTCGTGTCGTGTTACTCATTTATTAAACGAATCGTGTTTGTGTTGAGATTTTTTACCCGTTTATTAAACGTGTCATGTACAGGTTTATATATTTTCCACCCGTCACCCGTTTAACCCTACACGTAACCGTTTAACCTAACACGTTTGACACCCCTACTTTCATACCGTTTAGACCAAATACCTTAATCATTTTTTCTCATGCAGTTGCAAATAATATTTATTCCATCAATTTGGTTAGATTATGAAGTTTTTTTTTGACAAGAATATTACTTATGAAAATTTCAGTATAATGAATTTTATAGTTATACCAAGAATATTAGCCTCCTAATAAGAAATGTGAGAGGATGGGTATTGGCATAGCGATAAAGTTGTTATATTGTGACTTGGGCGTTAAAGGTTTGATTCGAAGACACAATCCCTCCGCATGAGGAGGTAAGATTGCATACAATAGACCCTTTCTAGACCCCGTAATATGGAAAGTGTTGTGCACTGAGCCAGTTTTTTTTTTGTATCAAGAAGGTAGCCACCCTTATATGGTAGATCTTTTAATTCTCTTTTTTATTTTATTTTTGGGTAAGTCTAGAATTACCCTATCGTATGCATGCAAGCCTCAACATCATAACATCCATTCACTAATGCGTAAACTTGCTTGCATTGGGGTGGGACAGAATGAGTTGGATCGGGTTAGGATCCAGTCCTTAAACAATGCGGCGTCCAAATGGATTTGAGTAGTTGGATTACAACAGGAGTCCATATATCCAACTTTGAATTTTAATTGGATTGAGAATAAGAGTCCTACAAGGATTGGACTCAATCTCTTCCCTCTATTTAAAGGACTCATTACATTATTTCTAGAGTTACGGAATGACCCCCTTAAGTAAATTATATTAAATTTTGTAGTTAATTAATTAATTTTTTTCTAGAAAATTAATTTTAAATTAGTTTTAAAATTACAAATGTTCTAGAATTGAATTTAGGGATCTATAAATCTATTAAATCCAAAAATTGGCCTTTAATCTATTTATTTCATATATAAGATGCATGTTTGTGTTATTTTTTTGTACCAAAGTGGTACTTAAAATTCAATTCCACCCTAGGCTTATTTTTTTGGACTAAATACCCACTCCCATAGGTTTGAAGAATAATTATTAATTTTAAGACTAATTTAAAATTAATTTTAGGAATGAAATACTATATTAATAATTTACCGGAAAGAGTAAATCAAGTGGGCTGTTAGCATAGTTGGAAGAGCTCCACAATAGAAACCCATGGTCTTGGGTTTGAAAAGCACTATAAATAGATTTTTCCCAATAAATCTAAAACTTCTAAAATTCATATCTTTTAATGTATATGTTAAAAAATTATGTGCAATATATGGTTGGAAATTTTTTTGCAATATAGAATTTAACCATATCAAATTTGAGGGCAAAAAACGAATTCTTTGGACTTCAATTTACAAATTTCTTCAAAGAGTCAACATTAGGATTTTGTTTTTCTCCTAAACAGTGAGGAATTTCGATATGAAATTTTACAAGCATGATTATGTGAATATAGACTACCACATACTAAAATATTAGGTCAAATTACATTGGGAAGATACAGACAATCCTCTACTCGTGTTACAAGCCTTCAAATCAACACGATCTCTTCCTTTGTCTGTACAGCGGCTACTAGAGTCCTCCACTTGATTTCCACAATCCAAATCTTAGAGACTTAGTTGATGACCCTAGAGAGAGCTTCTTGAAGGTGAATGTTGTTACCCCTCCATCCAGTAACCAATAAGTGTTATGTATGTGAATGGATGGAGGTAGCATTGACGCAACTCATGAATTGTTTGGTTTTATTTTATTTATATTGTTCCAAAATAATTTTTTGAATACAAAGGAGCTGTGACATCCCTATTTATTATTATTACTATTTGTGAAGCATTGTAAAGGGATGTGATTCGTACCGAGTTTCTAAACATTGAATTATTTTGGCATGAAGCACCAAAATCCCAATGGAGTCCTAATTTGGATTTAATATGATTTGTACATGAATGAATGTATGTATGTTTCGATGTTGTCGATTATTGGGAGGTATGTTACTCCTAATATCTTTGACCTAAAAATAAATCAAAATTATTTTTCTGATTTACATTTATGGGAGATGATTATGAACTAAGCAAAATTTTTGATCCCATTTTGTAAAAAAGAATGATGATTTTGGTTAGATTTTTTGAACAAAGTTAAAATGTATGCTAATGCCACCCTTGCACACTTTGAATAGTGAAATGGCCTCCAAGAATATTATTACTGACTTGAACAAAGGAGAGTAACTAAATGGTACCAACTATGACATTTGGCATTGAAAGATCCAATACTTACTTACTGATGAAGAAGTCCTACAAATCTTGAACACCCACATGGACCCCCCTGAGGAGGGCCACACGACCCAACATCATCGTGACATGGAAGCTTACCAAAATTGGGCCAAGAAAGATGTATGCTCGCGTGATACTACGTTGAGCAGCATTCACAATTATCTTTTTGGTCAGGTTGACATATACCCCACAATTAAGGAGACATGGGACCAGTTGAAGATTACCATTGGTGGCATATCCGCTACAAGGCTATGTACCCTGAAATACGGTGATGTCTGCTATGATTCGTGAATTGAAGGTTGCCAAAAATAACCTCACTGATGAGCAGGACATTCTCATTGTGATTAGATCTCTGCCTAAATCTTGGAGCCAAATGAAGTAAATCTTGACTCATAATGAAAATATCAAAACATTTGTTGATATTTCACGTCATTTAGAGTTGGAAGCGGAGCGCCAAGTGGCGAATTGCTCATCCGTCCTTGTCACCCAGAGAGGCAAGAGTCAGGCCCATGGGCCTAACCACAAGAGACAAGGATGGAATAAGAGGCAGAATGGATCTGGGAACTTGGCGCCAAAAGCAGGGAAGAATGGCAATTGTCGTAGGGGAAAAGGTGCTAGAAATAAAGACAAGTCCAAGCTGAAGTGCGATAACTGTGGTCAGATGGAACACTTTGCTCTTGGATGCGCTGATGCAAAGAAGGTATCCACTAACCTAGTTTCTCATTTTACTTTTGTGTGTACACATGTATTGGTTTCTCATTCTCTCCTTGTATGGATAGTAGATATCGGAGCAACAAAATATGTAGCATGAGATTAAGGAGGGTTTGTGGATTACCATCGACTAATAGTGGGCACAAAGAGTATTTTTATGGGAAACAACGTATGTGAGGAAACTCTTAGAGTTGGCTCTTATTAGCTCAAGTTACGTACTGGGCGGATGCTGCTTCTGCATGATGTGCTTTATGAACCTAGTGTTTGACATAATCTCATTTCAGTTTTGGCATTAGTTGAACTTGGTTTTTCATTTATGTTTTCTTGTAGTCAGCTTGACATGTTTTTAGATGGTGATTTGCTTGGGCATGGATATCTTTCAAATAATTTTTACGTCTTAGATATTATTTATTCTTCTTAATCGTATTCCTATATGACTTGTGATAATAATGCATGTGATTCAATTACTTGGCATGCTAGAATTTTGCATATAGGCCAACATAGGATGCCCAAGTTAGCTCGAGAAGGCCTATGGGCCCACTTGCTAAAGTCAACTTACCAATATATGAGCCTTGGTTGGCAGGAAAAGGCCTATAGGAAGCCTTTTGGAAAGGCGATTAGGGTTAATCATCCTCTAGAGTTAATTCATCGGACATCTGTGGACCTATGAATGTAAAAGCACGATATGGTGCTTCCTATTTCCTTACTTTTATAGGTGATTACATGTGATATGGTTATGTTTATCTGATCATTCACTGATATGAAGCGTTGGATTGCTTCAAACATTTCTTAGTAGGGGTTGAGAATTAGAGAGAGAAGAGTTTAAAGGCTCTTCGACCTAATCATGGGTGCAAGTACTTCTCAGATCAATTTAAAGAACTGTGTGAGGAAAAGGGTATAAGAAGTCAATTAACGATTCCTTACACTTTGTAACAAAATGGTATGGCAGAGAAAAGAAATCAAACCTTATTCGACATGGTTAGGTCAATGATGGTGTTGGCTAATCTCCCTATTACCTTTTGGGGGGATTCATTTTTTAATGTGGCCTAAATCCTTCATTGAGTGCCTTCTAAATTAATTCCCACTAACCCTAATGAATTTTGGAGAGGCGAAAAGCCCAATTTAGAGCATTTGCGCCCATGGGGGTCAACAGGTTATGTTCACAACACTTCTCATAAGTTTGAAAAACTAGGCCCTACAACTAATAAGAAAATAATTATAAGATAGTTTGAAAGCTCAAAAGGGTATGTGATGTTTGGGGAACATCATGATAAGGAAATTATTGAAGTATAGTCATGAGATGTTAATTTCGTTGAGAATGATTATCCAGGCATAAGTGAAGCTAATCATAATCTTGAGTTTTACGAGATGGAGGAACTTGAGGGTTTCACATCCTCTCATTGAGGGTGGGGAAGTTTTACCTCATCCTGTAATCGTCGAAGAGAATGGGAGTGATCTTCCACCTAGTGGGAGTACACCACCAGTACCTCAAGATTCTCAGGTTCGTAGGACTGGTCGCAATATTATCCCTCGTCATCATTTTGAGATTGAGGGGAGATTGGATCTTGATGAGACAACTTCATATTGGTAACAAATGGGTCTTAAAGATTAATCACAATGCATATGGATCAATTGACAAGCATAAAGCCTGACTTGTGACAAAAGGATATACCCAAAAGAAGGCTATAGACTAAGAAGACATATTCTCCCTAGTGTTGATATTTATCTTTATTCATCTCATCCTAGATATTGTTCCACATGTGGATTTGGAATTATTCCACATGGATGTTAAAACAACATTTCTCAATGGAGAACTAGATAAGAAGATATATATGACTCAACAAAGAGGGTTTTGAAGTCAAGGGACAAGAGCGCAAAGTTTGTTGCCTAAAACATTCTATTTTTTGTCTCAAGCAATCATCTAGTTAGTGAGATCACTCTGTGTATGTTAAATGATCCAAGGAATGAATTTTGATTATATCATTGCATGTTGATGACATTCTTCTTGCTTGGAATTACACGAAGATGATTATCGCCACTAAAGAGTGGTTATCCTCTACTTTTGAGATGAAGGATATAGGTGAAGAAAAATTTGTACTGGGAGTTAATGTTATAAGGGATTGTGCAAAGAGACTTCTATAATTGTCTCAAGACTCTTACATACAGAAGGTCCTTGAAAGATTCTATATAAACCACTCCAAACTCGTAGACACTCCAGTTGAAAAAGGTTGTGAGCTTTGTCTTGAACAGTGCCCTAAAATCGATGAAAAAAAAATACAGATGTCCAAAGTACTGTATGGAATTGTAGCCGGGAGTTTGATTTACACTACAATATGTACTCACCTTAACATATGCTATGCAGTAGGTTTGGTCAGTCGCTTTCATAGTGACCTAGGACTTTCTCATTGGCAAGCAATTAACTACATGGCACGGTTGATCTTATACTTTGCTATCATGGTGGAGACTTAAGATTGAGGGGTTTAGCGATGCAAATTGGGCTAGCGATAGGGACGATCATAAGTCTACTTCTGGCTATGCATTTGTACTCGGATGAGGAGCTATTTCATGGTGTAGCAAGAAACAATCATGCGTTGCCCCATCTACTATGAGTTAGAGTATATTGTCTGTTCTTCAGCAGTACAGGAGGCAGTTTAGTTGAGGAAATTCTTATGACATCTAGACATCACACTACATTGGCATGATGTTGTGCTGATTCATTGTGATAACATGGCTTCTCTAGCATATGCAAAGGATCCCAAATATCATTAAAGAAACAAACACATTGATATTCATTTTAACTTTATTCGTGATATTATTGCGTAAGGGGAAGTGGCCTTGAAACACATTTCCATAGATAGGATGTTGGATGATCCTTTCACTAAGCCTATTCCTAGAGTTGTTTTCATTTCCCATGTAGGTGTTTGGGTATTCGTAAGAATTGATGTGCTTAGACTCTTATTGACATTAATAATAATAATAATAATTCATTCCTTTTTGCACTGTGTTTTTCTATGGAATGATTGGTTGTTGAGGATACATTTATGTCATAAGATATCAGCAGTTTTATGATTGGCTTACTCACACGAGCAATCTCCTTGGCGCTAATCAGAGTAGCGAGCAAGAGGTATAGATAACCTTTGGTTTTAGTAGGGTTGCCTTTATTTGATTAGGCTTGTACATTTTCAAATGTTACCATGAAGAGTTTCCACAACTTTATGCAACCTAATTAAAGCCAAATGTGAGACTTCAAATAGGCGCCTATAGAATGGCTGGGTTGGAGAACTCAGGTTAGTTGCATTAATAGTGGCTAGACATAGATTCGTACGACATATTTTATAATATGAAATCCCTAATTAAGTGGGGAATTTTTTTCATAACATTCATATCATACTGTATGTGCTATTGTCAACAATTATAAGATAGTCACTTCATGGATCCCTACTTAGTCACTCTAGTGAGCTCTTGGATCATGATATTGATAATGACCCTTCTTATGTCCTTATGGACCTAGGACAATGTCATGAAGAAGATGCTCAATGTCACTACTTTAGCATGTTTACCAAGGACCATGGATGATATGGTCTATGTCTAGGAAAGCAGTTGTGTTTAGCTGAATTGGTGTGAGTGTCTAGGGAAGATTGCTTAGTTTTACACTATTTTTTTGTGACTCATATCCTTGGCAATTATGTCAATCTAGAGTTTCATTATAATTATGAGTACATTACATTATTGAGGGGTTTGTGCACTGATATGATTTTATAACTCATAAGGGATTAGAGGTGTTGAATCTAGTGTAATGAAATAGACTAGGGTGTAGATGAGATACTTATGAGAGATGTGTTATGTTGGTTAGATGATGATGTGATATAGCACTCCTGTTTTTCTTACCATTTCTTGTTTGGTCGCACGTTTCATTTTTTGTATAAGGAGATGAGCTTGGAAAGAGACTTTGAGAATTTCAAGAGAGAGAAATAACTTCTATGGACAAGTGGGAGATGATAGAAATTGGATCGGGTTAGGATCTGCTCCTTAACCCAGGGGACATCCAAATGGATTGTGAGTAGTTGGATTACAATAGCAGTCCATCTATCTAACTTAGAAGTTGAATTAGATTGGGCATAAGAGTCCTACAAGGATTGGACTCAATATCTTGCCCCTATTTAAAGGACTCATTACATTGGGAAGATACAAACAATTCTATATCAGAATATATCACATCATCTCTTTCTCTCTCTCTCTCTCTCTCTCAATAATCTCTCTCTTTAGGAAACTCTCTATAAGGTTGTCATCTTAGTCCCTAAGATTTGGATTGTGACAATCAAGGGGGGGATTCTAGTAGTCGTTCTTTGGACGAAGGAAGAGATCATGGTGATTTGACGACTTGTAACACAGGAAGAAGATCCGTCTTTATGCCTTTCTGTGATCCACATAATTTATCCTTCAGGATGCAATTATTTTGTTGCCAAACCTTCACTGGAACAACTATAAATTAAAAATAAAAAATTGAAAGACAATAATCGCATGAGAAATTCTAACTCCATGAAAGTTAGTTCACATATCGTCTCAATGCTAGAAAATAAAAATCAAAGTGGTAAACATCGTCTTTCTTGACCTTAAGGACTTCAAATGGCCCTCCTAGTTGGCCGATCATTTTCTAGTCCTTGGATCATTTAGTCCTAAAGGCAATTTTACTTTCTAGACTAAATCATTTGTGCCGAAGGTCCTATTCATGACCCTCTTATTATATGCCTGGTAGCTCTAAACTTTTGCACTTTAATGCAATCTAATGCACCCAGTCCTTGTTTTACTCAGTTGGACATAGCCTATTCTGAAAAACCACTCAAAATGATCTCATGGTGATTTCCCATAGGCAATACCATGTCGTGCCCATATGTTAGCTTGAATGGCGTGATTTCGATGCTAGATCGTTTGGACGTTCTGTATGCCCATAGTGCTTCTGATAATTTGTCGTGTCATCCCCTTGGGTTGTCTTCTACTATCTTTGTGTTATTCCATTTCATCACCTTGTTAGTAGATTCTACTTGGTCGTTTCCTTGTGTGTAGTATGGGGTTTATGCTGAAATCATGCTCCTTTGCAAATTCCTAACTTCACTATCTGCAAAGATTGTTCCTTGGTCAACCACTATGTGTTGGGGAAGCCTAAATTAGTGCACAATGATTTCATTTATCATTCGTATGATGTCGGCATAATTGACCATTCTCATTGGAATGACCTCCACCCACTTTGTTTAATAGTCGGTAACCAAAATGATAAAAGATTGTTGCTTCATAGAAAAGGGAAAAATCTTCCCTATCACATTCATGGCCCAAGCTCAGAACAACCATGCCTTGATTTCATGATGCATTTGTATTATTGGCACCCTCTAGATAGGTCAGTGGCACTAGCATGCTTGGCAGCCTCTTGCATACTTAATACAATCTTTCAAAATGATTGGCCAATGGTAGACATATCTTCTGTTTAGCCACCGTATCTTGATACTAGCTTAATTGTACCACATATGCCCTCATGAATTTCAACCATTACCAGGATGGCCTCTTACCTACCGATGCTCCTTAATAATAGGTCATCATGCATTCCTTTATTATACAGTTCTCCATCCATGAGTATGTAGTTAGTTGACTGTCTTCTAACGACCTACTCTACAATCCATTTTGGATTCCTTAGAAACTGCATGATGTTGAACCTACAGTCTTCCTCTCCCATTTCCACTTCCACTGCCATTGTTAGCTCTTCATAGTCCATCACTCTAGTTCTTATAGATGACAGAACACTCATTTGGACTTTGACTAGTACATTGTCCATTCCTTAAGGAATTCTTAGACTTGATCCCAATTAGGCCAAGTTGTTAATCTAACCGTTCACCACTCTTGGGACCGCTTGCAATGTCACGTCATCAAAATTTGTCAACAATGACATTGCAATGGAGTGGAATGGGCATAGATCCCAACTTTTTCATTGGAAACTATTTGCAATCTGGTTAATGACAAACTAGGAATCACTAGTTATTTAGACTGCTGATACTTTCAATCCAAACAAACTTCAAACCCAAAAATCAACGCCTCGTATTTGGCCTGGTTATTAGTGCATTCAAACTCTAGTTTAAATGATAGTTGGTTTTGCGACCTTGGGGTGATTCTGTAACTACCCCATCTCGTGCAAACTCACATGTCCTTAACCCGTCGAATCTTAATTTTCATGGCATTAATGACACCAAGTGTACTCCGAGAAAACCAAATGATTCCCTTGTGTGTGACTATACTTCCACGCAAGGGTGGTCGGCTAAAAAATTGGACAGTGCTTGGCCTTTTACCGCTCACTATAGCAAGCAATGAAGTGAAAATTTCAACAAGGCCAAAACCCATTTATCGATTGGACCTTCATAATTGGTCTCATTGGCATGTACTTAATTAAATTAGGTTGTCCAACAACATACACCTCAACCAAAATCATGTAGACTCTCATTTTCTGTGCTGTAAAGTACAATACTAAACAAAGTTTCTTGATCATCTTATAACGTTGCTAGACCAGAGTCAAAATTTTACTTAAATAATAAATGGATTGCTCTTTAC